GTCGTCAATCATCCATGTTTAAATTCATCGTAATGCATGTTATTGAGAATTAATACTACACAAGATCGGTACATATAAAACCAACAAACTTTGAAAATACAGTAAAATAAGGAAAATAGATAAATTCGATGACAGCCAAAGTTTTATTATAATTAGGTGAATACCCGAGTAGACACGCGGGTTATCTTTTACTATATATGTATGTATTTTTCTTTTTTGTTAGTCGGTTCTTTGGCCATTTCTGAGTGGTATCAAATTTTTACAAAGTCACTTGCTCTAATGGATCGGAGAAAAAATAATTTGTATAAATTAATGATTTTACAAATACTTTGAAAATATGCTTTTGTGTCTTCATGATTTTACGGACAAGAAAGTCTCAAATACAACACATATCCAAGAACTATATTCTAAAAGTACAATGTCTTTCATCATTTTTCCAAAATATAGATCATTGAGATTCAACCGTTAATATCAAACTTACACTCAAGACATCTGATAACTTACTTTGAAGACATCTAATAACTTACATTCAAGACTCTAACTGTTACTTAAGCTAAAGCTGCATATGAAAGACACTATTAGGTTAATCTCATTGAGAATAAAGGTCTTGGACAAACATAACTTATAAAACGTTGCAGCTTGGGATATATTCGTGCACATGTAGTTAGCCTGAATACCACATATATTTAGTTAAATAGTTAAACAAAAGTAATAAGGATTTATAATTTTATCTCAGAAACCCACGATTAAGCTTGTCTGAGTTTCCAAATTTTAGTGTCTTGCTCTTTTATTAGTCGGGAAAATGTTTCCCCCTCACTGCTTCGAAATCTTTCTCTGCTTTCTTGATGAAACCTCCTATTTGTTGTCTTTAATTAATCTGCCACATCATTTGCAACCCAAACAAACATAGAAGCATGAATTATCATAAAGCCAAGAAACATGAAAACAGAGGTTTGATGGTGTTGTAAACAGAAGATGGAAGTGGAGCTTTGAAAACTCTATTATATAGTGTCTTGACTGTGATTTCAAGAGATGTATTTGTTCCAAGGTAGCCTAGTTAGCTCCCAAATAAAGAACTCAGAGAGCACCAGACTTCCTTTATGATTATATAAATTATAAATTCAAGATTGGAAGAAAAGTGTCTCTTGGACAAGAATTTTGCTTACCTTTCAAGGATTGAATTGCGTTAGTTGGTGACAATAGCGATATTGAAGTTACTAAGAGCCTCTTGGACTTGATTGAAGTTGTTATTCTAAAGGAATTTGAATCCATACTGCATTTAAATTTTGAAAAGTCGGATTTAAGATTCGTTGTGTCAAAAAAGGAGATCAAAGAAAAACTATTCGAGCAAACTACTGAGTAGGTTAACCGATCATTACCATAATACCTTCGATAGCAGCCCACTTTTGAACAAAGAGTGAAATTGTAATGTTACTTGATAACCTCCAAAAACCATAAATATTTCTTTTTCTCTCCCTCTCTTCGATGATAAGGAGACCAAGATCTTTATGATGGAGATTTCTTCAAACATCTAATACTTGGCGATCAAAATCCACAGTCTACATAAATGGAGCTAACCAGGTATATTAAGACATAAAAAGAGATATGTCATGTAAATTTTTCTTCCAAATTAGAAGAAGAAAAAGGGGTTCGATACTTTACCAAGTTGTCTGACTAAATCCGGTTTTGTTCTCCAGTGAATAGTTTTTTTTTTCTATATGATCTTCGCCTTTTTCTACTGCCTTTCATGTATCGAATAGTGCTTCAATGGTCACGTTAATTTGATGTCGCTTTGATTTTAGAGGAGTATTTACGTTTCTAGGGATTTGAAGGAGAAGAATGAGACGATAGATGTAATTTTTGAAAATCTGATTTTTTTTCTTTTTAATTATTTTTAAAGTTGATGTGTAAAAAAAGTTTATGTCATATCGTTGTGAGAAGAAGTCATCTATTATATATAGGATTATTATAGTACATGCATTGAACGCGCTACAAATTTATTACAACGATACTTGGGAAAATGGAAACACAAATAAAAAGGCACACAAGAGGAACCACAATATCACATGAATAACAAAAATAAGCTCAGAATATATTCTTGGTTTCTTCTTGTAGGAGATGAGATCGTTACAAATATGAGATTAATTATTGAGGATTAGTAGAATCTGCAGAAGAGAATTTGAGAGAGACACTGTTGACACAGTGACGTTGATCAGTAGGAGTAGAGTAACCTTCTCCTTTAAAAACATGTCCAAGATGTCCATCACACACTGCACATGTTATCTCCATTCTTCTTCCACCTGCTTCAGACTGCATCATAGATAAATAAAACATCAACATTTTGTTTAAATAAAGTTTTTTTATGGGTCTAAATGGTGTTAGATCATTTAGATCAACATTTCTTAAACTTAAACAAAACGCCAAAACATCATTTAGATCTTATATTTATGGAAAAATCATTCTTAACTATACCAAGTATTGGCTAATATGTTGCAAACATGTATTCTAAACTTCACAAACTATTATATAATACATGGTGACATACACCAACTATATGTGAACATGTTAAAAACTACAAATTGGTGTTTTTTATTATAAATATTTATCAATTTGAGGATCAATTTGTAATTATTTTCAT